TGAATAAGGAAGACCACAGAAGAATCTATGCATTTAAATTTTGATGCTGGTAAAGAATGTCGACAGTACTATGGACTACTGGAAGAACAGACAGACCTGTCTTGGAAGAAATGCAGCCAGAAGGCTCCTTAGAGGCAAGGATGAGGAGATTTAGTTTCATGTACTTTGGACATATTATCAGGAAAGACCAGTCCCTGGAGAAGGACATCATGCTAGGTAAAATAGAAGGGCAGCACAGGCCCTTGGCAAGGTGGTATGACGTAGTGTCCACCACAGTGGGCTCAAATGTAGCTCATTGTCAGGAGGGCATCGGCTGGGCGATGTTTCCTTTTATTGCACACAGGGTTGCTATGAATTAGAACTCAACAACAAAGATAAGCTCCATGCTATAGTTTGGAAGCCTCCCTGATGCCCTCTCCATAAATTGCTTAAATATTCCTACTTGCATACTCTCCTTTCTTTCTCATAGTTTTTTCCTTCCCTCCCCAAAAGATCCTGGTTAACTCCCGGCATCCTCACTCCACAAGCAAACACAGCCCCTGTCTCCATCACCAGCCTTGTGCTCCTTTCTGTTTCCTGAGCCAGCTTTCTTTGCAGAATAAAGTATCCGTGGAAGCAGCTTCAAAGTTTGCTGTTTTCTTGTTGATGGTTTCATTCCCTGGGGAGCTGGGTGTCCCCGTGGCATCTGCGAGGCTGCGTGTCCATTCACCCCCAAACGTCCACTTTCTCATTAGCACCCGCCAGTGTCCTTGAGACTTCTGTTGCTGGTGCTAATGGTCAGCTGGCTTTTATAAACAGTTTTTGTCATTCCCCCAAAGTTGATTCATAGGAAAAAGTGAGTAGAAAGTCCAATGGATTGTGGGCTGTGAGGAGCTCTCACTTCTGGCCCATTGTGTTGCCGACACCATTCAGAATCAGTGATCTTGGAATGGCACGAGCCTGTACCATTAGAAAGGGGTGAATAACTGCATCAGGGAAGACAGTCTCACTAATAACAGTGTCACTAATCTTTAAAAGTTAAAAAGCTTATTTTGAAATAACCCATAGAAGAATTTCTAGAAGCATCCATATGTCTCCCTCCCTGATTCACCAAATTTTAACATTTGACCCCATTTGTTTTTCTCCTGAGCTGCTTGGGAATAAGTTGCGGTCATGATTTACCTCTAGATACTTAAGTGTGTGCTTACAAAAGAAGCAACAACAATCCCCCCAAAAGGCATGCTCTCCATCCTCTATAGTTTGATTATCAAAATCGATGAAACTAAGACGGTTATAGTAATACCATTATTACCTAGTCTGTGAACCTAATGGACATTTTATCCTTTTCTTGAAAATGTCCTGATGGAAAAATGGCAGGGTGTGGCCACAAGAGTCTATCTGGACTCTTTTCTCGAAGGTAAGTCAGAAAGTATTGCTATAAGGCTTAGGTTCCAGTTCATAAATACATGTATTTAGTGCAAACACAATGTGTTTCAACAGGTCTCTGTGATCGGTGGATGGCTGCCACCAATTCTCTCAGTAATACACGCCGTAGTTTCATGACAGCACCTTAAACAAATCCAACCACAGCAGGGGCTTCCGAGGGAACCCGCTGGGCTAGTTCAACGGAAGGCAGCAAGCGCAGCTCAGAAGTTGTGTTGACGGTTGGGGGGATTCCAAAGGGGCTAACATGATAACATTTCTCAAGTTCCTAGGACAATCACAGGGACTTACTCGGAATAATTTTTAAGGAAATTGAAAATTGGGTTCATTAATGAGCAAAAGGCCAGAAAAGTTGTACCAAAAAACGTTTCTCCTGATGAAATTGTGCGTGCGTATTCTTCAAGGGTAGCACGGGCTGTCCTGTGGGAATTTCATTGGAAAACTTCACCCTTTCCACCCTACAGCTATATTCTTGCCCCTTCACGCTTTTATTGTTTTTGTTTGGTTCTTTTGTTCCTCAAACTCAAGAAACACAGAAAAGGAATAAGATTTGAGTCCCGCGATGATGCTCAAACTGCCATTTTGCTGTGGTGTAAACGACAAACCACAGAATTCTTTGGCAAATAGGAGAAACAGCCTTCAGAAGTGGATAGACTTGGATGGAGAGAAACAATAACTTCATCTTTTGATATTTTGTTGAAGGCAGGTTTCTATGATGTTAGAGCAATACTGTTTGACTTACCACAAGGTCATCAGTTCAAACCCACCAACTGTTCTTGGAAGAAACTTAGGTTCTCTGCCCCCCTAAAGATCTATAGCCTCTGATTCCCTGAATAGGATCACTATGAGTTGATGACCGTGGATAATATAAAAGCAAAGTGGCAAATGTCCAGTTCTAAGAAGCAGGGGATACCTGTATAGACATATGCACACATTATACAGATGGAGTAGATGGAAGAGGAATCTCTAGGGGGCACAAATGGCTGTTTGAACTACTAACCCAAAGGTTGACAGTTCAAACCCACCTAGAGGTAACTTGGAGGTAAGATGTGGCTGTCTGCTTCTGAAAGGCTGCAGCCTTGAAAGCCTCAGAGAGTCGTTCTGGTGCAGACATAGGTGTGGACATGAGAAACTCCTGGATGGGAACTAACATCAGCAACTCATGCCATTTAAGCATGTGAACAAAAACCAAACCCACCTCACCACCATCGAGTTGATTCTGACCCAACCCTGCAGCTCAGAGGAGAGCTGCCCCCGAGGCTTTCTGAGACTGTGACTCTTCATGGGAGTGGAGAGCCTCGTCCTGCTCTTGGGGAACAGCTAGTAGTTTCAAACTGCAGACTTGCAGTGAGCATCCCAGCTCATAACCCACTGTGCCACCAGGGCGCCTACTTGAAAAAACAAACAAACCGAGCTGTCATCGAGCCCATGCCGACTCATTGCGAGCCCCGTGAGTTTCTGAGACCGTAACTGCTTATGGGAGTAGAAACTTCAGGCTTTCTCCCATGGAGCTGCTGCTGGTTTCGAGCTGCTGACCATGCAGATCGCAGGCCAACATGGAACCACGACATCACCGGGGCTCCTTTATGTGAAAAAAGTACTCTTCACTTTCCACTGTCTTTGTCGTTTTATAAGGATTGGATGCTGAATGGTGTCAAAGGCTTTCAGCATCTGTTGATGCGCCCCCTCGTTTTCTTTCTGGATTTATCAATACGATGTCTTAAAATAATGGAGTTCTTCTTATTGAACAGGATAGCAGAATTCCACCCCAGGAGTGGAGTGCTATTTTCTTGCTGCGTCCCTCTTCTCTGAAATCTCTATGTGCCAAGGCTTGGTGGTAACATGGCCAAAGCGTAGCTTTGGTTGCTTATCCTAGGTTGCTTATCAGGCTATGGGATGCTGCTGAAGTGGAACCGGTGGGAATCTGCTTGTGACAAGTCCCCACAGAGGCCCCTATGCACCCTGAGACCCACTGGCCTACTCTATGGCCCAGTGTCCAGTTGTTCCAAATGAGAAATTACTACCCGCCAAATTATTTACTTTAGCAAAACTTGTGCTAATTTTTTAACCGATTCCAGTAAAAAGCTGCTTTGTATCTTACATTTTTTAGATAGTAGATCATGACCAGCTGCAGGAAAGTAGATTATACAGAATAACCAAAAGGTAAAACATTAGCTGTGGACTGAATTACTCACTCGCTTATTCATCTTTTTTGAACACTGTGCAGTGACTGAGGATGCAAAATATATAATACTTGCTTTCTGAACATTTTCTGTACAGTAGGGAAAATGAAGGCTTATAAAAGTATTTACAAAGTTAGGTATTAGGTATTCTACTAGAGATATTTTTTCTAGGAGTTGGGTGGCCATTGGAGGGTTTAAAAGTGCAAATGCTTTTTGGATCAGAGAAGATTTTTAGAAGGAGGTATTGCTTTAGATGAAGGATCAAATTAATGTTAACTCATAAGGAAAAAGAAGATTTGTAAGCATCCTATTGACATGAGCCTTTGCAAAAATGCATATTGCACCTTCAACTCAACATTTGGCAAACACGGGTCCCAGCTTTTTCATGTACACGGAGGATGGTAACCTATTTGTGGAGGAATCTCTCTCTCTAACCTATGACCGAGTTTCTGTTCCAGGCCCATAAACTTAATAGAAACACTGAATAGAATCAACAATCATAGAAAACATTAGTAATAAATGGAAACTTCAATAAATGGAACTATTAGTGTGCTTCTCATTCTCAAATGGGTGGTGGTGGGAGGGGGGCGGGAGAGTTATATTCCCTTTCCATTAGAGTGGCTTATTTCCACTCCATTTAGTCTCGGTATCAGACTTGGCTTATCCAGGACCACTGCTTTGTGGCAGAGGGACTGTCAAATCCTGAGACTTCCACTCTCGTGCGGGGTGGCGATGACTGACCCTTGGTATGGACCGCATCTTCACCTGTCTCGCTCACACCTGCTACTCCTTTCTCTGAGGGGCATTCACTCGGGTCAAATGTAGCGAGCAGCCTCGCATTCCCTTATGTTCGTGATGGAGGAGGAGGAAGAGGAACGGTTAGAAATGCCCAGCGTTGTGATGGACTCCGTGTCTGTAAATTTTAGCTGCTCTTTGGGGCGGACTGTGCTGCCAAGTCTGTGTGCAGCCGGCAGTCTTGGCACACATCTTGCATTGGATTTAACGGGCAGCAGGTGCCAGGCAAGACAGATACGAAGGCTGCACTGGACCTTGGACTGTCCACTGTGGCTTACCTCTCGCCACCATTCTTCAGGAATCACCTGCCAGGTCACTGAAGTGAAATGTTCATAGGTGGAGGTGCTTAATGGCGTAAGGGTTAGAAAGCATTTCATGATTAGGAAAACAGGTATCTCCATGTGGCTCACCTATATAAAACTTCCTAGACAGCAAAAGTAGATCTAGGGGGAATGCCAAAATTAGACATCATATGTATATATAATACACATTCTATCCTTAAGAACCTATTTAAGTAGCATATTTGTTCTGCACACTGACACTTCCGGTGCTTTGCGTGAATTTAAGAGTGACGCTTGGTTCTCGTTCTCCCATGCACAGTTGGCAATCAGTGGATCAACTACATATCGTTCTGTGGCCTCCGAACTCATGCCGAGCTTGACGGCAGCCTCGTCACCGAGCTCATCTATGTCCACAGCAAGCTGCTCATTGCTGACGACAACACTGTCATTATTGGTAAGTGGAGAGGGCTTGGAACTTGAGCCTATGTGAAAACCTTTCTTGTGATTCTTACCAAGCCCCCTCTGCCGTTGCAAGGGGCAATCGTGGAATAACACATTCCTGAAGCAATTGTTTTCTCTTATATCCTTCCCAACCCCTGTTTTTCATGTGTGAAGAAACAGAGGTGCTGAGCCACCAAACAGCTTTTGTGCACTGTTACAGTCGCCGGAGGCAGCAGCCTAACCAGCCAGCCAATCATCAGTGTGCTTTCTTATGGGTCTTTGATTTCTAGTTTGACGCCAAGGACCTGGTTTCTGGGGATTAGGAGGACAGAGAGTGCATCGTTATACCTCATGGACATAACTGTTCCCCCAGCTCCAACATCATGCAAGACTCACCCAGTGTCTGAGTTTTCATCGGGATGTAGAGGAGACCAGCTTTAGACAGCATCAGATAAAACAAAACTCAGTACCATCTAGTGATTTCTGACTCAGTGTCAGCTTACAGGATGGGGTAGAACTGTCGCGAAGGGTTTCTAAGGCTGTAAATATAAAACCTCCTCTTTCTCCCATGAAACCACTGGCAGAGTTGAATGCAAACCTTGTGGTTAGCAGCCCAGTGTATAACCCATAATGCATCGCCACTGGGGCTCCGTGGGACAGGGAGAAATCACATATTAATAATATAGTGGTGTTATTCCGGGTACTTTAGATAAACAAATCCACAGAAACTCATGTAGAAGAGAGAGTTTTATATAAAGCGTAAGTGCACATCAAGAAAACATCCCAACCCAGTGCTGCCCAAGCCCACAAGTCCAAATGTCCAACACCATTCCACAAAGTCCTCCTCCATCTCACAAAACACATGCAATGATGCCAACTGCAGGAGGAAAGCTGAATCAGTGAATGTGTAGGCATCTCAGCGCTGGCAGGGGTCTCCACATGGCTGCTCCAGCACCCAGGGCTGCATCGGGGGAGGCCCATGTGGCTTCTCCTTGGGGATGTCTTGCAGGAAGTCAACCTTGCCAGCTGAAGCAGGGAACTGCTAAAGCAGCTGCACCCTGGTGTGACCATCACAAAGCAAGAGACCCAGGAACTCAAAAGGCCAGGCTGACCAAGCCACTTATCCCTCAGCCCTTCAATTAACCCCACATGTGTTTATCAACCAGGTTGGCACAATAAACTAAGTCCCTCAGTAGTGTATTCTTAAGGTTTCCAATGGCCTATGCCCATTGACGGGTTCAGAAGAGTGTCCTTGGGCGTTCTACCAAGACAAAATCAACTTGACAAGAGGGGGGTTCAAGTTGTGCTTCCTTCTTTCATACACATAGAAACCTTCATTTTCTCATCACTGCATTGTGTTTCCTTCTGGTGCTATGCTAGCTCACACCGAAAGAAAGAGAGTAACCATCACCCACTGGATGATGGAGTGGGTTGCTGGAGGGAGTGTGTTATCAGAGTTGTGATATGAATTGGGAATTCTGCTCATCAGACTTAAATAGGGGCTTCCTATTCTTTTAGAAACTAAATGTTCCGGAGTATCCTGAAAGGTTTTGTGTGTGTGTGTGTGTGTGTGTGTGTGCGCGTGCGCGCATGCACGCTTTAAATATGGCTTTTCTATCTATTCTCCACTAGAAAAAAATAATAATAACTCATATGACAGTAATGATAGTGTCTCATCTACAGCATCATTTAAGAAGAAAGGAGTGCTGAAACGTTGTGCCAAGTATGTGTACACAACAATAGTGAGAGATTCTTCGAGTACAGGACAATCAAGAAAAATGTCTGGTTTCTTGACTCACTCGTCATATAGGGATTGACACTTGGAAAGAGGGTGTAGGGGGCTCTACACTCCATAGAGCAGGACAAACGGTTTTTAATCAAGGCCTCATTTCTCTCAAGTTGTTATGCCTTCTTCTCTAGAAGCCAAACCTCAGGAGATTTTTGATAATAATTTTGACCATGACAACAGAAATGTAAAAATACTGATGTTTGTTGAAACACAAAAATAAACAAAAAGCCAAGTACCATATAGACTCGTGGATAAGCTGAGTTTTTCAGCACATTTTTGTTGCAGTTTCTGTGGTAAAATTAGGTGCCTCGGCTGATATTCGGGTCGGCTTATACGCGAGCTTATGCGGTAAACTTCATTTGATCTCTTCAACAAGCTTTCAGAACGCTTGCAGTAAAAAATGTGTGGCTAACCCTATTCCCTTTTTAAAGAGCAGTTTGGCTTCCAGCCTGCTTTGCTGCACCGAGAGTGTACATGCAAAATCGTTTTCAGAAGCAGAGCTAACAGTGAAATATGATTGTTGAGTTTAATTGAGCTGTTTTCTAGAAAGGCTACCTGGTATTTTGAGCTAACAGTGAGCAGTTTTGAACACACTTCTTAGCCTCTGTCAGAAACCGGAGCTGTGGCTTGGGCATATGAAGAGGTCAGAGTTGTTAGTCTTTAGAGGCTGATTTTCTTCTTCTCTTTCTCAAGACCAGCATGACTAAAGGGCAGACTCCACCTGCCCCCACCCCTTACCCCCTCAAATCCGAAGGCGCTTTTGTTGTTTACCGCAATGGAAGCTTTATGAGTAAGTGGGTATGTGGCTGCTGCAGCTCAGCAGCCCTGTTTGCGTTATAAGACAGAGAAAACTGGTTCAGATTCTTTGAGAGTCGTTTCAGAAGTTAATGTGACAGGTGATGGACCAGTACTTAAAGGTATGAAGCAAGATATTTAAAGCCTTAGTTTAAAGAAGGCTGTGGTAACTTCTGATTGATTTGTCTAACGTGAGAAACTTACGCCAGAATGGTTGACTTAAGAAAAATGAGTTATTATCTATCTTTATTTTTTCTTCTAAGGAGATCACTTGTTTTCTCTCATTGAAAGTCTCTTGTGTACGGCTTCAATTATTTGTGACCATGCATGGGCCTGTGCGTCATGGAATCTGGTACCAAATTTAGTTTTTATCTAATCCATTTTTTGGATTTGAATTTCAGCAAACTAAGATTTGTTTTCCTTAAATTTAACAAACAAACAACCCCAGCATTTATTTTCCTGAGTCAGAATCTGTTTGCAGCAACTACAGTCAACGCACACGAATGCCCATAGAGAGGGAGCTCTGCGGGGAGGGCCATGTCCTCCACCGATTAAGCGATTCCTTACCCTTCTCTCTGCTTCTGTGCCATGGGAGAAATGGGCAAACAAAAGGTGGTACCACCTTTTTGATTAAACTTTAATTTGGAGAAAAATACTGCCAAAAATGGGAAAGAAATATAAAGAGAATAATGCATTCTGGGTTTGGGGGAAACAGGAACATGAAAGAGCATCAGAGAAGAGTCAAGTCTCTCTCTCTCTCTCTCTCACACACACACACACACACACACACACACACAACTTTGCAACTTTTTGTGTGGAATGAGGGCCAGAACTTTTTGTGAGATTCAAGGAAACATGGACATCAGA